GATTTTTCTTTTCTACCCATGACAGAGACATGGATACAGAGAAATATTTTTTTTCTAAGAAAAACAGTAGTACAAGCATTGTATAAATGACAACTCTGGCTACCAGAAGCATGAAAGGAATTGATTGGAAGACGTGATAGGTCACAGAATTCACAGGAAACTTGAAGAACTGAGGTGAGAAAAGATAGGGACCAGAGAGAATTCTGGGAATCTAGGTAGCAAAACTAATAGACAGACTCATCAGGGAACCCTGTGTCCCTCTGCCGAGGATTCAGATTTTAGGGAAAGAGCATGTGAGTGCCCTAACTTGGGTCACAGGCTCATTTTTTGCACATAAGAGGTGCACTGTGATTGACAGCTCCCACCAGGGCTATATCCATTGAGGGCATGAGTGGCCCAAAGGACAGTTACCAGGAAAAGGAAGAGTAGACGTGAGTGAGCAGATGGTCACAGCATTACACAAAACCTTACAGAGCAGAATCCATACCCAGCCATTGTCAATAGGTCGTATGGGTGTCAGGCACTGTGCGAGGGCTGCAGATGTAGCAGCATTCAGAGTCCCCTTCAAGCAGCCGATACTCTTCCACAGCTGCTTAAATCAAGGCCACTCCCTGCAGCAGAAGCAAGGCATATGTCGCCAGCTGTGAGTAATGTCCTTGCATATATCCTTGTCCATACAGCCAAAGAGAAATGACTGAGCGTTGTCACCAGAGCTGGACAACAAACCAAGATTGTTTCTGAACTGGAGATAGGAGCCATGTCTCATCCTCAACCAGCTCCCAGTGTCCAGAGGGTTTTGGTAGTGCTAAACATTTAGCTGAGGGGTGTCAATAAATGCTAGCTCCTTTCTTAAGGACTTCTAAGTAGAAGTTTGGAAATCCAAGATCTAGGACTCACTGTGGCATCTCACAGTATCACAGTTTCCTTAGTAAAGTGGAGATAGGCAGTGTAGTGCTTCTCCTTCGACCTTGTGAAGCAGTACAAGAATAAATCCATATGTTCATGAAAGCACTTTGAAAAATTAAATAAATAAATAAACCAAAAAAAAACCCTGTAATAAAAATGCTTCTCTCATCTCTTCCTTCTGACAATAAAAAAGGATGTTTGTAATCTAAATCACCTAATGCCATCTCTCATTAAATGCTTAAATTCTGGAATGAATTTTTAAAGATTGTCTGTGAACTAAAGGTCGGCTAGTTGTCATGAAAAATTGAAAGCTGGCTGTATTTGAATTATCATGAGTTCTTCCCCCACAAACACCTATCTTTTGCCAAATGGAGGTGCCCAACCTTTTCGTGTTATTGTTTGTATTGCTATTTTTTCATTATAAAATCATTGTTAACCACGTTTATCAAAAAACTAGAAAATAGTCCAGCCAAAACAAATCAACCATACCTCAGTTACCTTAATTGCCTGTATTTTGATATATGCTTTCCCCAAGTTTGAAGACTATTTTTTAAAGGTAGCAGTAATAGAGCACAACAATAGAATCACAGTTTTTCATTAATTTTTTTCACATGATAAGCATTTTTTCATGTCATTGCATAAACACCAGTTTCAGTGAGCTAACCAGCCTGCCCTCTAAGGAGTAAGAGAAAAAAAAGTCTCAAAAAGGAGTGCCTTCGCTCCTTAACTGAGGCCTCGCAGCTGACCAGAAAGGAAAGTGGGGAGACTGGGTGCTCAGGGCGCTGCCTGCTACATCGCTGGAAACCAGTTCCTACCAGCCCTGTCCTTGCTCCTTGTTTGTTCGGATCACTGCTGACAAGGGAAGCATGGCTAAAAGCTGTATTCATTTGTCTCCCCGCTTCTGTCTTCAGACCTTGTTGCTTAAAATCCCAGCAAGCCTCAGGTGCAGGTTCGCCCCAGACTGTCTCAGTTTGGGCACTGAAAGCTCTACATCCTAGGGAACCCCTCAATCCAGGGCAAACTGGGACAGTTGATCATACTGCCAGTGGAGGAGTAGGCGAATGTGTGCACAGCCTTCAAGACTGGCCAACCTGTTGGGGCATAGGTACTGCCCTGGAAGTTCTGTGTCAGGATGTGGGTAGCTGATATGTGCCGTTAAGACCACTTCTGTGCTACGCCTGCCTGGCTTCTCAGACTCACAGTCACTGGGACCTCACCCACTCATCCAGCCTGGAGGCACTTGACTGGGATATTCTTATGGGGGCTGACCAGAGTAAATGTGACATTTAGGTAAAAATAAAAGCTCTGAAATTCTTATATTTAATGCTGATGCTGACCGCTTTAAATGCCAGCTCTGAAATCCCTTCACTTGATCATTAATCTGATTTCTTTTCTTGTTGCATTTGATTTATGTGTCCTTTTGAAGTTAAAAACGTTTTCCTTGCTTTGCAAAAGAAAGATTTTCATATGCCCCAAATTCAGGCCTTCTGTACATTGCTTGTGCAAAATTATGCAGTTCAGTTCTTCACTGCCTTGTTCCAGAGCTGGTGTTCTTGTTTATGATGAGTCTTGAATAACAAAGGAAACAACTCAGGGTATGGGCCTCATTTCAATTCAGTTCAACAAACATGCATTCTAATGCTGTACATATAAACCTGTTTTTTTTTTTTTTTCCTTTTTGTCTTTTTTCGTGTCCGGCAACGGATCACAACCCTCAGTGTCGCGCCCGTACCGGACCAGGACCGGTAACGGGAGCGCAACCCGCGGTGTCACGCTACCGGGCCGGCCCACATATAAACCTGTTTTTTTTTTTTTTCCTTTTTGTCTTTTTTCGTGTCCGGCAACGGATCACAACCCTCAGTGTCGCGCCCGTACCGGACCAGGACCGGCAACGGGATCGCAACCCTCGGTGTCACGCTACCGGGCCGGCCCACATATAAACCTGTTTTTGCTGTAACCTGTGGAGTTTCTTATTGCCCCTTAAGGATGAAAAAAATTCACATTGATTTCAAAATACAGCAATGATAGTCAGTAAAGGTAGCTGCAAGATATTCTTATGGGAGATGACACAAGCTGGCAGTGGAGAGGGAAAATGAATATATATACTTGTGTGTTTGCTAATTAATAAGCATATTTTCATTGAATTCTAGAAGAGGGATTATTTTGTACATGATGATCTTTGTTAAACAGCCATCATCAGGCCTTTCTCGAATGGTGAGGTAGTTAGCCTTGTTTGATGGTACTGATCATACATAATTGTTTCCATACTGTTGGCCAGAACAGCTGTAGGAGGTTTTGCATAGGCCATAAGTACTCAAGGTCTTTGAGGTAATTTCTTTGTGTAAACAATTCAAATATTTTATTGTTGTAGTGAAGTTGATTTTTTAAAGAGGCTTTACATCTGTCAGGATTTTTGCCTCGGGTTCTGCCTGGGAGAGTGGGGGTGATGATGGTGATGGGGACATGAAAGGCCCAGTGCTCCTGCAGCGGAGGCCCTGGGCTCTTTCATCTTAGACTGCATCCCATCTCACTGCTGCTTGAGGATTTGGAGTGTGTTAATAGTCCTGGGCTTTTTAATTACATTTAAACCTTTTAAGAAGCCTGCACTATGAAGGCAGAGACGGAAACATATGCATTGAAACATTTTATATCCAATTTGAGGATTCAACCAAAGGTCTCCACTTGGGCCAAATCAGAGGCTCCAGATAGATCAAAGGTAGCATGGAGTTGAGGAAAACCTCTTAGCTGGGGGTAGAGTGGCAATACTTTATAATCAATATCATGTTAGTTGCATAAAAAATAGTAAGAAGGACAAAAATCAAAGGAGAAAATTACTCAGATTTCCACTATCTAAATTAATCAACTGCATTAATTTTTTTCAGACTTTCACTCCATGTATGTGAATGTGTATACTTATTTTATACAGTCGTAGTTGTGATATATCTCATATTTGACTTTCAGCTTTTATGCTTAACATGTGGTAAGCATTCTCCACATGGTGTCATGGTTCAGTCAAACATTTTAAATGGCTTTACAATATTCCATAGAATTCCTGTGCCACTGTGTATTTAACTACTCACCAGTTATAGGACTTTTAGATTGTGTTCAAGTTTTGTTAGTTATAGTAAGACTCAGTGAATACAGTTATATAATTTTTTTTCATAGAGTACGTTCTACAAATTGGGATTATTGGGACAAAGAACTCAACATTTTTAAGTCTTTAGGCACATTATGATTATTGCTTTCCTAAAGAGTATTACCATGTTATACTATGCCCAGCAGTTTTACAACCTTACCAGCACTGGATATTATCTGAATTTTTTTTCATACAAACTGAAAATTGTTTTGAGAGGAAAGAGAATAGTTGCCTCAGCATTATTTCTCCTATGATAATCATCAGTCTGGCAAAAAAAAAAATGTATTCTAGAAAGAAAGGACATTCTTCAATGTTGACAAGTGGCTGTCATAGTTAAGAAGAGGAAATCTGGGAAGTGGCATGGCAGGCAGAGTTGCCTCCAATAAGTAACAAAGTTGAGGCACCTGCATCTGTCTGTCTGCCTCAAAAAATTATAGTTGCCACTGAAATCAATGTAGGAGGGAACAGCAATATGGATTAGCAACCCCCGAGAGACAGCCCCGCTTCCCAGCTATGGCACTGCCTAAAATTGAAGTTAATGAAATGCAGACTTTATGAAAATCCTAGGGTGTAGTATTCCTTAGTTCCACTAAAATGTAACCACAATCTTCCTTCTTAGCATAGCCATACATCCAAGGAAAGCCTATATATATCATTGGGTAATACATCACAAATGTTTTTGTAACCAAGGTCTTTATGTAGATTACTATGAAGAATCAAACTTGGAAGAATTCAATAGTTGAGACAGGCTTGAGTTTACTTTAGATTGTTGGAGTGTACGGTTAACTGGTATGAAAACCCCTCTAATCTGCAGAGCTGGCCTCTTTGAGCATTACCTGTATAGCAGAAAAGCTCATGTTTCCTTTTCTCTTTTGCTGGCTTACTGCCTATACCTGGATAGATTCGCTACCTTCACCTTCTGAATCCTGCATTTGCTGATGGCTTTATTTCACTCCAGGTTCTGATCTACAATGGCCAACTGGACATCATCGTCGCAGCTCCCCTGACAGAGCACTCCTTGATGGCCATGGACTGGAAAGGATCCCAGGAATACAGGAAGGCGAAAAGAAAAGTTTGGAAGATCTTTAAATCTGATGATGAAGTGGCTGGTTATGTACGGCAAGTGGGTAACTTCCATCAGGTATGAAAACGGTTGGGGGCTGCAGGATGTGGGAGTGGGCTAATGGGATGGAAAATAAAGCGTGAATCCCAGTAAGACATGGTTGACCTTAAGAAAAGTCATACAACAGCCAACATGTGTCGTCTGGGCCCCTGCTTTCCACAGAGAAGAGTGATCTGAGTTCACATGAAAGTACATAGGACTTAATGTAAAACCAGACAAAAGTTTAGGCATTGTTTGAGAGATAAAGAGACAATTAGAAAGACAAAAACTCAGTCCAAAGAGGCAAATCTTTAATGAGAGAATTACAGTCTATTTGTGGAGGAAAAATAAAAAGGACAGCTTGACAAATTACAAGAGGAAGGATCAACATAATCCCTTCTGGAAAATGGTGTGATCACATTTTTATATTACAAGTGGAGCCCCGGGACAAAATCTCTGTAGCCGATACCCCTAGTGCAAGCTCCACTTCAGAGGTCAGACATTAATTCCTGTAATTTTCCTTGCTTGGATTGTCCTTTTCAGGTTTTGGAATCAGGGTTATGCTGACCTAATAGAATGAGTTGAGAAGTGTCTCCTCTCTTTCTAGTGTCTGAAATAACTCTCTCAAAGTGTTCGAATTCATTGTTGAAGCCATCTGGGCCTGGAGGTTTCTTTGAGGGAAGATTTTAAATTACAGATTCAATTTCTATAATAAATATGGGATTAATCACCTTTTCTATTTCCTTTTATGTCAGTTTTCTTAGGTTGTAATTTTTTCAGGAATTTCTTTCATCTAAAACTTCAAATTCATTGACATAAAGTTGCTTTTGTAACATCATCTTACTATAATTTAATGTCTCTTAAGATCTGTGGTAGTATTAGTAATTTGTACCTCTCTTGCCTGAGGTTTAACAATTTTATTATTCTTTTCAAAGACCCAATTTTTGTCTTTGTTGATTTTCTCTATTGTATTTTTGTTTTCCATTGTATTAATTTGTGCTTTAAACCTTATTTAAATATCCTTTTTTTCTCTACTTTTTTCCTGCTTGTCCTATCAGTTAACAAGAGAGGTCTGTTAAAATCTCTCACTATAATTGAAGATTTTTCTAGTTCTCCTTTTACATATATTTTTACTTTATTCTTTTTGTGTTGTTACTGGCATAATTGTAGAAATGCTATATGTCCTGGTACTAAATCTTGTATTCTTATGAATTACCCTTTTTAAAATCTCTAGTAATGCTCTTGCCTTAAAGTCTACTTTGCTGATAGTAGTATACCCATATACCTATGCCAACTTTCTTTTGATTAGTATTTGCATGGCCTATTTTTCTTCAACGTTTACTTTCAATCTTTCTGTATCCTTATTTTTAAGATTTGTCTCTTTTAAGCAATATTTAGTAGGATTCTCTTTTTTATAGACCCTGACAATATTTTTTATTGGATAATCCATTTATATTTAATGTAATTACTGATGTATTTGTGTTTAAATCTACTATGAGTATTTTACTATGTTTTCTCTGTCCCACTTGTTCTATATTCCCTTTTTTTCTTCTTTATTGCACTCTTCTGTGTTACTCGTGTTCTATATCATTTTTTCCCATGTAAAGCTTGTTAGCTATACATTCTTTTAATCTTGTTTAGTGATTTGTAGGGTTTGAATGTTTGTCCCCTCCAAACTCATGTTGAAACTTAATTTACAGTGTAACTGTATTAAGAGGGTGGGGAATTTGACTATTTAAAAGGTGGGGCCTTTAAGAGGTGATTGGATCATGAGGGCTATGCTCTCATGAATTGTTTAACCCATTCATGGAATGGATGAATGGGTTATCATGGGAGCAGACTGGTGGCATTATAAGAAGATGGAGAGAGCACATGAACATGCTCTGGCCCTCTCATCATGTGACATCCTGTGCACCTCAGGACTCTGAAGTCCTCACCAGGAAAAAGGCCCTCACCAGGTGCACTTCCCAGCCTCCAAAATTGTAAGAAATAAATTTCATTTCTTTGTAAATTATCCAGTTTCAGATATTCTGTTTTAAGCAACAGAAAACAGAGACTATATTAGAAAGCACAATATAAATTCTAGACTTAGTTGATCCTAATATAAATTAGAATTTTACCACTTTCCAGACAAATGCACAAACCTTAGAGCACTGTATCTTCCTTACCAACCCTCCTGCCTTTTGTGTTATCATCTAAAAAACAAAGCATTTCTATATATAATTTAAATACCAGAAGATGTTATTTATAGCATTTTATATAGCCAACAGTCTCTTAGAGTTACCCATATATTTACGCTTTCAGTAGCCCTTCAGTCTTTCTTGCATTTCTATGCTTCTGACTGGGATTATTTTCCTTAGCCTAGAGAAACTCTTTAGTATTTATTTTAGTAAAGTCATGTTGACAAAAAAGTATTTGTTTTTGTTTGTCCAAAAATGTCTTTATGTTGCCTTTAATTGGGAAGGACATTTTCCATGAAATGGAATTTTAGCTTGGCAGTTATTTTCTTTCAGCACATTGAAGATGTTACTGTACCATTGTCTGACCTGCACCATTTCTGATGAGAAGTCAGCTGTTACTTTTATCAGTGTTCCTTTAAAGGTGATTGTTTTTAGTGTTTGATTCCTCCCCCCCCCCGTTTTTTTTTTTTTTTCCTCCCCCCCCCCCCCCCCCCCGACTGCTTTTAAGATTTTCTTTTCAGTTTTCCAAAAATTTTGGACTTATAGGTGTGATTTTTATAATTTATATATTTATCCTTCTTGGGTTTCTTGAGCTTTTTGAAACTGTGGTGCTGTAGATTGGATCCCCCCCAACCTCACTGAGGCTTAAATCCCACAGTAACTGTTGAGGGTGGGAAATCCTATTATGGTAACTGAAAGGTGGGGCCTTGAAGAGGTGATTAGATTGCAGGACAGTGCCTTAGTGAAGGATTAATAATGGTGGTCAGGGGCATGATTCTGAGGGCTTTAAAAGGAGAGTGCAGGAGGGACTATCCCTCTCTTTCCTCCACCATTTCACATTGTGATACCCTGCTGTCACTGTCAACACCACTAAGACCCTCACCAGATGTGTTCCCTGGACTTTGGACTTCCAGCCTCTGAAACTGTAAGCAATAAATTACATTCTTTATAAGTTACCCAGTTCCAGGTATTTTTTTTAATAAGCAACATAAATGGACTAATACATATGCCTTGATGTCTTTTGTCACATGTGGAAAGTTTTCAGTCATTATCTCTTCACACATTGCCTGTGCTCCACTCTCTCTCTCCTCTCCTTCTAAGACTCTGCTTACATGAATGTTAAACCTTTTTATTTTATCTCTTATATCTTTATTTTCATCCATTTTTCTCTTCATGCTTCACTTTTGATATTTTCTACTGATCTTTCTTCTAGTTCTCTGTTCTTCTCTCCTGCTATTTCTAATTTGCTGTTTAACCCATTTACTCATTTTTTTAAAAAATTTCAATTATAGTGAAACAAGTCAGGCACAGAAAGAGAAATATTACATGTTCTCACTTACCTGTGGGAGCTAAAAATAAATAAATAAATACACAAATAACCTGGGCGGGGGAAGACACAACAATTACAATTCCTTGAAGTTGACAGGACAAGAGAACAGAAAGGAGGTTGTTGGGAGGGAGGGGGCTCAGAGAGGAGGGAGGGAGGTTTTGGTAATGGGCCACAATAATCAACCACATTGTATATTGACAAAATAAAATTAAATTTAAAAAAAAATTCAATTATACCTACGGACTAAATTTTGTCCTCCCCAAATGGATATGTTGAAGCTCTGTCCCCACTGTGACTATAAAGGGAGATAGGTCCTATAACGTGATAATTCATATTTAATGAGGTCATAAGGGTAGGGTCCTGATTCAATGCCATCTGTCTGAAAGCCAAGAAGCAAGCACTCACCAGAAACCAAACTGGCCAGAACCTTGATCTTGGTCATCCCAGCCTCCAGACCTGGGAGACATAAATTCCTGTTGCTTAAGCCCCCCGGTCTATGGTATCCTCATAGGACTGTTGAGAGGATTCGAATGAGCTAATAAGCTTACAGCAGTGCCTGACTCAGTAAATGTTGCTATTTTTATCTTTATTATGATTACCCTGGATTGCTTACAAGAATATATACAACAAAAGGAAAATTATAAATAGTCAAAGTCAAGATGTAGGAAAATATTTAATTGAAAATCAACCCATAGGGGAAAGCTGAAATATTAATATTCAGGCCATTAAGGTCAAACATGTGTGTTGAGCTGCAGAGAGCGATGGACACATTGCGTCTCCCTGTCCACTGCACTGCCTTGTAATGTGAATCCCACCAGGCACTAACTCCTCAAGATCCTTTCCCGGCTGCCTCCACCACCTGTTATTTTATGTCCCCCGGACCAGTCTGCTGACATGCTCCAGTGCCTGGCATTGCACATGCATCCTGCTTGGCTCTTCGCATAAAACATCCAGCTTGGGAGCCCAGATCGCTGCTTCAGGGCAGCATGTGCCACAGAGGTGGGAAGAGGACTTGGCTGCCAGTCAGAAACTGGTGGCAAATATCACACTAAGCCCGCCGACTCTTCTTGTGAACACAAAACACATTTAGGGATGAAATGGTGCTCCTCCGGCTGCCAAAAACCGGGTAACAAAAGAAGCAAGGCCCACATATGTTTGAGATAGGGAGTGTTTTACCACGCAGCAAGGGATCTGCATTTTATGTAGGTGATTTCAAAATCCTTCCCCCTTAGTGCCTCAGTGCTGGATTAGGGTAGTGCCTGGAGATGAGGGGAACGGAGGAGGGTAAGAGCTCTGTGTGGACAAAGACATTCTCTGTGAGGCTTGGATCTGGGAATACTGTCCAAATGTCAAGCATCTGATAATGGAGAAAACCAACCTTAGCCACAAACTTGCTTTTCAGCATTAGACACACAACACAGAAGCATGTGTATGTGTCTGCCAAAAAAGAAACCCCACTCTCTGCCAAACACCACAGCTCTTAATTTAAAAAATCAAAACCAAAGTAGACGTGTCTCCAGATGGTTACC